CGGACGTCACAACGTTAATGACCGTACTGGGGGAAACATACTTAAACACAGACTTAAATACACAGGACTAATGACAGGAACTCGAAACAGCTGATCACATGATTCCACATGAGGTAACGAAGGGGCGTGGCACACGAGAGGATCGGACGAGCGGGTCATGACAGATGCCATGCTTAACTAATGTCAGGCCATTTAGTCAGGAAGCTCTAACAGGGAAACTGAAATGAAGTTTCTTGAACATGCTGCTGGGAATAAACTGCGTTTCAGTGTCAGATATAAATGTATAACTCAGTGGGTCACGACGCCCTGGTTGTGATCTGAAGGTCACTAGTTGAAATCCCAGGTTCAGCAGACAGATTTCGCTGTTTTTCCTCTGCCAAGCCCTTAATCCCCAATTTCTCCAGGAACTGTCTGACCCTGCTGTGTCAAATGTGCATCTGCCAAACAGGTAAATTATAAGACAACCCTTCTTTTTGAAAGCGTCTTCATCTTGTTCTGATCTTGTCCTGTACCGCAGCATTTGTTTTAAAAATCTGACCATTTGACTCAGTGTATTGGTTTACCTCATTCTTTTCATGTCTTGTTGCCAGTAGGATAGTCAATTTAAAATAATTTAATAAATTTAAATAAAAACCATGGTTTTCCACGCCTGCAGACATATTTTTATTTTTATTTACAAAAAATTAGAAAATTTGTTGGAATTGTCCCTATAGTATAATTCTGTTAAGTCATGAGTAGTTCAGTGGTGGAAATCAGTAAATTTCTCATCATGTAACTAAGATTGCCGCCCCCCTCCCCCGCCCCCCCCCCCCGAATGTGTGAACTCCCTACAAAAAACTGGATGAGTGATCGGAGTCCAACCATACCCGAAAAAGCTCAGTGTGCTTGCTGTTTGCCTTGGTGGAAGTTTGACAAGATCTTTCTGGATACTCAGATGTCCGTTGTGGTGTGTGTGAGTAGTGACCTCCAAGCTGGGAAAGTAGCTCACTGTGGGTCCGTGAGTTTTCCAAATGGTGTCAGCATCATGAAAACAATCCTTGTGATGGGCCAGATTTCACACTGGGATACAGGGCTCCATTGTTCTCCTTCTTCTAATCACAAATCTGTTTTATGTTACCGCTGGAGAAGCTGTATATCGGCATCCCTCCTCGTTTTAGAAGCCAGTGCTTCAGGCCTGAGCTGTGATCACTTGCACTTTGACAGAGCAGCACAGCTTCTAGGTGCGTATCGCTTCTTCCCAGGGCAGCAATGTAGAGCTTTCCCAGCTGAAGATTGTGTAAGTTGTGTGTTACTGCCTGGGAAGTGTACAGTCAGAGCTCCTGCTGTTGAGAGAGGAGTAGAGGACGGGCTTTCCGAGAGGAAGGCCAAAGGGTATCGATTCCCAGCCCAGGACAACGGGGCTGCAGGCAACATTCCTGTCTAACACCCCCGACCCGCCCCTCAATGTCTCAGCTGAGATACTTGAGATCTAATGGTTAAACAGTAACACTTTTTTTGAGGGGGCACAAACAATGTAGTAGTTCATGCTCACTTAATGTATGAATGAACCAGAAACTAAGTGCTAGTTTCAAACTGATCCCATGTTCGTTCATTAATCAGTCATAATGGTTCATGCATTTCATGCAGTTACTATATTTGTTCATGATTTGTCCTTGAGTAGTAACTGAGTTATTAAGCTACTTGTGCCCCCTCAAGTGCAGTGTTACTGATTTAATGTATCAGCACTGTTTCTCCACAGAAGCTGTGCGATTTTGATTAGGTAATGAGCGAGGGGGGGGGGCTGCAATCTAAAAATATATTTCAATACCAGTCAGGAGCAGAGTGTCTCGATTAATGTATTTTAAAATTTATTTTGTATTGATGTCTTTCTTAATATGGTAAATTAGCCACTGATGGGTATATGAATTATACAAAAAGTAAAATACTGATCTCATGTTTGTTCATCCTTAATGAATTGACGTGTCTTATCTCAAGTAGCTACTATATTTGTTCATGATTTGTATTTGAGTAGTAAATGAGTTACTACTAAGTTACTAAGAAAACTGGAAGAGACTTGTAATCGCTGCAGTGGAAACTCTGGGCAAATGTAAACTGCACTTGTATGCATTCAGGCTATCTACCCATTCAAACTGTTTCTCATCGTGGAGAAGCATCACATTTTGCTGTCACAAAAGTTTGATCTGCTATGGTATGTGTCACGATGCGGCAAGAAGGCGAGCAGGGAAGCAGGAGAGCGAGCCGAACTGACGGGTAATCAGGGGTTTTAATGGTCAAAAGACAGACAGGTAGGGACATCTATGGACACTACAATGACTAATCTGGGGAAGACTGACTGAGACTCGGACTAAATACACAAGACAAGGCAAAAGGAATAGACAACAGGTGATGACAATCAGGCAAAAACAGGAGGCAACGAGGTGGGCGTGGCACACATTAGGATCGGACGGAGCTGGGCGTGACAGTATGGAATAAATAAATAGTTTTACCGTAGAAAAGCATGTAACAAACAATTCCCTGTCCGTGCTGGAGGACAAACCTGCTCTGGTTACAATGTAACTCCTGATGCTTTATTATTGTCCACATTCCATCCGCCTATCCTGGGGAGGGTCACGGGTTTATTTTCTGGGTGATGCTAAATGACCTTTGTCAATATACATGGGACACACTGCAAGGTTGTATTTTATGAGGTTGACCTTTGCTCTGCCATTACAGACAGTGGCAGAGCGTGTAACCTATAAAAAATGACATTTTCAGTGGGTAAATGTCTTGCTTGGTGTGAATTGCTACACAAAATCTGGAGGGCAAAATTGCTACACATCTTCCACAAAATCTCAAAGTCACTGGCAGATTCAAACCAAGTATAGTAGGAAACCTTTTTCACAGAACTGATTTCATTTTCCCACACCTGCTATCTTAGGCAGTAATTATTCTGCACTTTTTTAATGCCGATACAATTTAAGTGAATTTTTGATTTATACTGAAATGTCCAAATGTTTTCTATATATCCACCTTTTAGAGTATAGTAGAGTTTAGTATAGTATATTATGGTCCCCCTCCTCTCCGTGAGTCTTTTTCAAAGGAATGCAGCTTGTTCCAAAATTTGAAATTCCTCATAATTAATGTTAGTTCACCCCCATGAAATGTCAATAGAGAGCGGCACGGTGGCAGAGTGGTTGGCACGGCTGCCTCAGACTTCTGGATCTGGGGTTTGAGTCTCCATGGTTCCATGTGTGTACGGTTTGCATGTTCTCCCTGTGACATCACCGGGTTTCCTCCAAGTACTCTGGATGCCCTCATCTGTCCAAGAATTTAAGGTGAACTGGCATTATCGAATTGACTATAGGTGTCACCCCATCCAGGGCTGTTCCCTGCCTTGCACCAAAGGCTCCAGACCCCCCATGACCCTGAACAGGAAAAGCAGTTGTAGAAGATGGATGGAAAATGTCAATACTCTAATTAAAGGGCCGTGAAGAAATATTTTCTTCCTGCAAGACCAAGTCAGTATTTTTGCACATTATTAAAAACCAAATTTAGCCAGATGAGTTGTACCGATGTATAGATTAAAGCAAAAGACACTATTTGTGTTTGTGTGTATTTGCAAGAAAGTGAAGCATGCGATCTTCATGTGTTCCCATCCTATTCATGCAATCCAAATGAAAGAATCCAAATTACTACAGTCAGGGTCAATTAGAGACAGTTTCTTGAATGTTTTGGTAAACATTCAGACGTGATTTAGGCTGAATATAAATCTAGCTATGGTCCTATTGTCAGCAGACAGATTCTGTAGTCACATTGTGCCACAATCAAAAGAAATTCCAGAACAACCCTAGGCAAGAAAAAAAACCATTGTTTTCATCTGGAAGGTGTTACAAAGCCATTTATAAGAGAAAAACCACAGTCAAGGGTCCAAATGGAGAATTCTTAGGACAATAATGAATTGTCCCAAGAGTGGCAATCCTGCCAAAGCTTCCCCAGCAATAGGACACAAAATTGTTCAAGAAGACAGAATGAACCCTACAAGAGCATCCATGGATCTGCAAACGTTTGTCATCTTGGCTGGAGTGATGTTTGCATCTCCACCATCAGATAGACACTGGGTGAAAATGGAATATTCTGGAAACTGATGCTCACCAAGAAGAGCATAAATAATGAAGTGTGCTGAAACCATTTGTTTGATCTTCAGGATTTCCGAATAATTTTCAAAGAACAGATTCAAACACATTCAGAGTCAAAACAGAGACAAAAGTGGAACTTAATAGGTGACATACATCCTGTTATGTCAGGCAAGTAGCAGCGGAAGTAGGAACCGGTAATCACTGGTATTCTGCTGCTGAATCAGATAACTATCCTGAACAGCTAAAGTAAAATGGCAGATGCACACATGGTTAAAAATATTAAGTTTAAAAAGTTTTTAAATGGTTATGTCAGCCAAGCATTTAAATATAGCAATGAAGTACTGTAGTGGAAAATGTGTTTTTTTTTAACCTTCAAAGATTTCATGACCATTTGCATCAGTCAAATAAAATGCATGAAATGTAAAAGACTGCATGTGGCTATTTAATTGAACATTTTGAATTAGAGAAATGTGTCATTTTTTTGTCCTGGGAACCATCTGTGAGTAACCATTTCCTTTTCTAAATGAGAGCTTTATTAACTAACGTTCGTCACAACGTTGCTTCAAAACTACTGGCATACGAAGTTTCTGTGAATCCCTCTGTTCTTCTGTACCTCTACACAGACAATGCTGGGTGGATTGCAGATCAAACCCAGTGTGACGCCCTGCCCTCTCCACCTGTCCAAACCCCTGTTCCCTGTGGAGGCGTGGCTGGTTTAGGGCCACGCCTCCTACTGATTAGTCCAGCCTATTGTTCTGCCCTCCTGTTAACCACCCACAGCTGCCTTGTGTTTTACTCCTCGTTAGTCATGTATATTAGTGATCCCCAGTCCTGTGCTCCCCAGTCCAGCCATTGTTACCTGCTGTCGCTTCTGGGTTTTGCATGTGTCTACACATAAAAGCCGCCCCTGAGGGCTGGTTGCACCAGCAGTGAGCTTTTGGGTTGTTCTTCATTTCCCTGGTGTGACACTGAGATGAGACGACTGAATGCGCTGATCGCCAAATGTTTAAAGCTCTGTGTAAGTGATGTGAAGATCGATTGATATTAAGTTTATCACCATTTCTTTTCATAGATACAGACCAGTCAAGTAATATTTTATCAGCACAAACCTGCATTTCTTAAGGACTATATATATAATCTTGGGATCCGTACTTCTTTACAGCTCTACCAAATCTACTTAATTAAATCGTTTGAAGAAAAGGCAGCACACGCACAGTAGGTCCCTGGGGTCAGGATTATGAAACATTGTATAAAAGACTAAACAAAATTACTTGCAAATGTTTTTCCAAGAATGTGGAAAAGAAACGGTTAGACCAAATTTCTGTAATGGTGTTAAAAGCAGAAAAGCTGAAGAGGAAATAACAATTAAACAAAAAAAAAAAATGTTTCAAAACAGAGGAGGTTGTTTGTGTTGGAAATAGGCAGACCAGAAGAGAAATCCCCTGGGGGATGTTATGGAAGGAGTGTTTACTGAGAAAAGAGCAACAACTTTAAATGCGCCGAAACATGGAGGAATCATTTTCTCTGCAACAGGCCTGGAGTGCCGCTAAGGTGTGGGTTCTTTGGCGGTTTTATTTGTCTGCAGGTCGTGTGATCATGTATACAGCCTGGAGTCCGGGCCTCTTCAGGACGAAGGTGCCTGGACTTGCCTGCCTACTGGGAGACGCTGGCCTCTCTGCTGTGGTAACAGTATCTATAGCGGCACTTTCAGACCAACCCAACAATGTTAAAGCGGCTGATGGAGCCGTTTGTGTGCTTCTCATATATCATGGCAATTATGTGAATTTAACCTCGCCATTGACAGCTCCCAAATGATAGAATCTATCCCTCAGACAGCTTTATCAAGATTTTAGATTGTCTGTGCTGTAATGAGTCCTTTAAATAACCAAATGACAGAAACTAAGCATGCTTTTCTTGGGCAGTTTTAGTGTGTTGATACAACTGTAAGTGTTTTCTACTACAGCAGTTAATTATATCTATATACTCATCAGCAGCAGTATAAAGAATGGAGAAATGGTTCATTTACTGGTTCTGCACTTGAATGCTCTCCTGTTCCTTCCAGCCTAAGGAACCAGACCGAAAATAACAGTTGAATATAAGCAGCTGTAGCTGTTTCACTAAGGATGTTCATTAAACAATTGTAATTGTCTTCATGTGTTTCCCATGTTGGATTCAATACAGGAACAATACTGATGTCTTACTCTTTGTGGGATGTGATTGAAATATTATGTCATGTTTCCACTTTAATAGGTTTAAGTTACGGTATATGAATATCAATGGAATATGTGAAACTGAAATCAAGTTAGGAATATAAACAAGTCTAAGTGGTGCCACCAGCTAAATAAGGTGGATTTTTAGATTTAAAAAAAAAAAAAACCCTACACTCAAACAAATACAACAATAAGACAACCTGAAGACCTTCTGAAGTTTGTACATCTAGCAGTGGTGGGCACAGCGAACCGGAAACTTACAGTAGCTTCAATAACCGCTAATCCACTAAATCCAAAGATTAATTTGACAACACTAAACCAATAAACCACTAAAAAAAATTAGCGGAAGGTTGTCTGGGCTAAACGTAAGTGAACGAAGATAAAGTCCATTTAAACTAGAGTATGTTAAATCCCACAAGTTATCCGGCTAAGCAAGAAGTCCAGCTTTGTGATACAGGTCCCTGTTCTCTGCTTAGTTTAAGGTACCCCAATTTAAATGGACTTTATCTTAGTACGGATTGACATTTGACAGCTAACATAAGTCTTAAATTATTTTTTTAAATAGCTTAAAATGTAAACAGATGACATGATGCAGTAAAATGCTGCCTTGAGTTTAAGAAACGTCTAACATGAACCACACTTTTCAGGTTTCTGGCAGTAATAATACTAAATGATAAACATTTACTTGCCATTTGCACAAGAATGACTACAGGTACATTGGAATTCCTCTCTTTGCCTTCTCCACCTCACCTTAAGGGTCATAGCACAGGGTCAGTTGACACGCCACATCACTGGGGGTTAAGGGCCCCGCTCAAGGGCCCACGGACATGCGACTGTTCTGCCAAGGCTGGGGCTCAAACCACCATCTTCCAGTCATGGGCACAGAGACGTACCTCACTGAGCCCCTCACCACCCCCGCTATGCTTTTCTTGTGATCCTCACATCATTTTCTTAGCTTCTTGCTGACTAGTTTCAGCCATTCTGTTAGGGTGTGGATGAGTACTGAAATATCAGTATTTTTTTACCTGACAGTTTAAATATTTATATTATTTTGGAGTACAGGATATGGGCTACTATCAGACAGGGCCAAGAAGAATAGGCACCAAATATCAGGGTACCAGCCTCGGAATTTTTTGGTTGTTGCCCATCCCTGGTAAATGAATAAATTCCCTAGTTGCAGATCCCTTATTCTACATTAAGCAACATGCGCCAATATGCAAAACAATAATGACATGCATGAGAGATGACCAATAGCAGCCCATGTGAGTCATTAAAAATTCAAACATGGATTTTTGCTGTCAATTATGTAAACATTTTTAAAATTCACTGGACTACCTGTTGAAAGATGGATGGATGGATGGATGGAAGGTTTTATTTCTCTCCGACTATTTGACTGCTGAATTGTCTGCTCCCTCCCAGTCTAAGTCTGAGTTTGTTAAAAGGACTGATACCTCAGGACTCGCAACTCTGAATCTAAATCTGCTAACTTACTTACTGTCTGCTTCAATGTCAAACTTCAGTACATATTTTCACCGTTTTCCCCTCCAATCAGGTGGTTAACTGTGTGTCTGTCTTTGTCTTAAGATCATGACTTAAACTGACAAGCCTAAATTATGCTTACATGCCTTAGTATTTCTATTCCTTTTGTTACTTATTCTTAATTTGAATGACATTTAAGCTCAGTGTGTGACTCCATGGATCATACACCAGAAGCTGACAGATACTTGGCTTATGATGGATGGATGGACCTTTCACACTGCATGTGTTCTGTGGAAAGTTCACTGAGGTTGCTTCACTGTAATGGTGTCTCAGACGTTTGATCGGAGACAGAGGTGTTGGGGTTATGTGCAGATTGAAGATGGCCGACATACAGGCGAGACGCACTGGAGTAAAAGACACACATCAGCAGCTCCAGTCAGCGTGCGGCGGGTTAATCCCGCGGGCTGCTGTTTCCGCGATTCCACGAGGCCTCTCCTTCAGAGGCTGTACAACAAAGGCAGTTCAATGTGTTTCTTTCTTCCAGCAAACGGCTTCCCTCGCCCAACCTCAGCACTGCAATGGGCCCCGGGGGGCCCCGCGGCCCCGCTCCCTCGCTCCCTGGCTCACTCGCGTCACCCTGGCAGCCTCGAGCAGATCGCCCACTTTGACAGGAAGGGCTCTCTCCAGCTGGGGTATCGCCGGCCCCGGAGGCGAGTTTCGGGCGCCTGCTGCTCCCTCAGACAAATGGCCCTTTCTGCAAGGTGTGGCGCTTCCAGACGTGGTCACCCCGAGGTGAGATGTGGTAGTGGAAAAAGACAATCCTCTCGCCAGTGGGTCGGAATGTTCTGCAACGTGGACCAGGGGAGAGGGGGAGTGTGGAAGGTGGGAGTGAGAGAAGCACTCAGATAATATCATGAGCAGATCCTGCACAAAAGCAGCATTTCACAGCAGTATATCAACCCCCTTATGCTGGGCACCTTGCTGCAGACCCACACTGACATCTAGTGGACTCCTAGGCTGTAGTGGATCAGCTCGAACCTCACAAGCATCGTCCCTTTGCTACAGGTGGCCATAGCTGCTGCAGGGAAATGATACAACAATAATGACATCATCTGCTGGTATCAACGCATCACACAGTCATTCATGTTCACATTATGATGTCATTGTAAATCACAGGGCATTGCTATGACTTCCTGGACATTAAATACTTGGACTGGGAGGAACACTTAAATTACACACATACCTGGCTTTAAAACCGGCTGATAATCACATAACATCTACCACTGTAATAAAAATGTCACCGAAGAAACACTGACCATAGAAATCTGGTTTCATTTAATTATTTAGCAGACCCTTTACCTTATCTGCATTGGTGGTTCAGTGCTGGAAATCACAGCCGCCCCATGAGCGGCCAATGCAGAGCTCCTCTTTTAGGGGTGGCCAGTCCCTCGGTGGGCTATGTCTCAGGGGTGGCGAGTCCCTCGGTGGGCTATGCCTCAGAGGTGGCGAGTCCCTCGGTGGGCTATGTCTCACGGGTGGCCAGTCCCTCGGTGGGCTATGTCTCAGGGGTGGCGAGTCCCTCGGTGGGCTATGTGTCACGGGTGGCGAGTCCCTCGGTGGGCTATGTCTCA